CCGTGCTAAGGCATAAAAGATAAAAATTATTTATAGTACTAACACATATACTATAAATCTCAAGTATAACTTCTCGTAAGCTATCATTCTATTTATGTAAGCAGATCTGTGTTGGCTTCACATGTGTTAATCAACTTGTAAATAATCAAGACGTGACTTGCCCAAAATAGAAGGTGGTACAGGTGCTGATCCTTTGTTGGGGTGAGCCAGAATCCCCACTTTTTTAAAATGAGAACAAAGTGAAAAAGCTACGGTCGTCGTATCAGTTTTGTTGGTCAAAGGATAGAGGAGGTTACTTGCAAAAACCAGTTACGAAGTGAAAGAGAGTTGAAGTATTTGCCCTAGTGCAAAACACTGTTTGTTGTTTCTTCTTCTTCTCCACTTACTTCTTTTCTTCTCCTTTTTCTTTAAAATGCCATAACGTAAACTTTCGGCCAAAATAATAGTATTATCACCTGCTAGGTCTTTATGCCTCTTATGTAAAGTATACTAGGCTATACAACTCGCGCTTCTATTTAATAACTACTATTTTGCTAGGTTTCCTAAAGTTTTAGATTATTTTGTATTTAAAAAATATTTGCTCCGTAATGGTTTAGGTGATCAGCAGGGAGAGTTGTTGGGTATAACATAATATTATATAAATAAATCTTGTTAAAATATATAAGCAAAAAATTTGCATAGTAGAAATCCTGAGTTAATAAAGTAATACAGCCTTTTATTTTTTTTTTTTTTTTTCCTTAGGTGATCTTGCCTTTCATTTATTAAGAGAAAACATAAAATATATTATAGCAAAATTATAAACTAACTAAAACTAGCTATAAAACTGCTCTCTTGACTTAAATCCAAACTCACTTAGCTGCTTAAAGTACTCAGATACGATTTGCTGCAATAACAAATTTTCCTCCCAAAAAAGTAGAATATCTAAACAGAATCTTACTCTCAAGATCTACAGAAGGCTACTATGCATTTGTATTAAAATTGCCTAATTAATTTTAAAACTTAACTAACTATCTTTTGTTCCTCCTTTGATCCAACTTACAACTTTGCTTTCAGCTTCTTTCTGAATTCTTGTTTCTTTATCCTGTTCTGATTCTATAACTTCTTTTTCTACTAGAGCTTAGTTTTCTTTATTTTCTTGCTTCTTCCTTACTTTGGTTTGAGAGTTGTGATTAGATTTTTTCTTCTTTTTTTTGTTGTCAATATCATTTCTTTTCTCTTACTCTAAAAATATCTGCAATGAAATTTCCAAAACTTCTCAAAAAAGTTTAATCAGAATATCTCAGTAAACCAGCAAATAGCTTTAATCATTTTAGAAGTTGAACTCAGAAGATCTCTAGCTTCTGCTACTAAGCTTTTACTGGTGAGTCTCTGTATAAAGAGTTTTCTTTTTTGTAGCCTAGTTTTTATATTTGAACCTAAAAAAGTCTCATTAAGTATTTGGCTTCTTATTGTAATTTCCTATTTAGAACTAAGCTATTGCTCTAGCTCCTCTATTATAAACGCTTCTATTTTTTTCCAAATCCCTTAATACATTTGGCATTCTGCTAAGTGTTCTAATGACTCTGCTTTTGTATAGCAGGTAATACAAGTTTTGCTTTTGTAAAATACGAGATCCCTTTGATAACATAAATCTTTTGTAAGTAAGAGTTTGTTGATGCATTTGATTCTAAACATTAGTGTATTACTCTTTCTAATGCTTGTACATTTTTTATCCTGTCAATTTTTTAGTGCACTCCATGTATTATACTAGTTCAACTCAGAATTGCTTAGATCTGTTGCTCTTTGATTTAGTACTGGTTTGATGCTATTTAAGTTTGCCTATGTATTCTCATTTATTGTTATTATAATTAGATTAACAAAGGATCTTAGTGCAGTGTCTATTATTTTCTCTTTCCACACAGGGAATACTCTTAGTTTACTCGTTGTTACTTCTTGAGTCTCAAGTATAAAATCAGATAAGAACTTTGAAATAATTTCAATAAAATTAAACTAGAATATTAAATAAATAATTTTGTTAAAAATTATTTAGATTTATAATTTTTTAGATTTTTATGAATTTTTAAAACTGTACTATTAGTAGTATAAAAGATAAGCTTCTATCCATTAATAAAAGTAACAAACAATTCAATTAGCCAAAAATTTGTTATTTTATAATATCGATATAATATCGATATATTATATGATATGATATATAAAGCCTTGTCCAAATACAAAGTATTTCTTGGTTTCATAACAAAATTTTAAAAGTGACCCGGCAGCCCGGCTTTTTATTTATGATTTTTTTTTAGAGAAAAATAAAAACGTATAAAATTTTTTTTAAAAAACTAACCCGAAGATTTTTATAATAAATTACATATGAAATTTTTTTTCAAGGGTTGACCCGGCCGGGTTATGTAAAACAAAAAAAATTTTTTTGTATGGCCTAAGGATATAATTACAATTATCTCAACTAATTGGTATATAATCAGGATCGCAGAGCATAAATCAGTTATACACTGGGTTCTTTGTTTATAAGCGGAATTTCATTCCAAAACGTTCAGTATATAACTATTACATATTAGAATTAATCTTTAAAATTTATTTGTTTACTAATCATTTTTTTTAATGTCAGATATTGTTTAATGTTAAACTAATCCTACGTATTAACTTTTTAAATCGTTATTTAATAACTTCATTATCACTAACCTAGCAAAATTCTTCTTGATAATCATTATGATATGGTAAAGATTAAAGAATACAATAATTTCATTTTTTTTATACCTTTAAAAGGTTTTACTTTTTCAAAATAAAAAATAGTTGTATACTTAAAAAAAAAAAAAAATGTCATCTTTTAATATTTCGAGATTCATTTCTACGGGTTCGCGTCCGAAACATACTTTTAAAAAAGTTGCAAGTAATTCAATAAATTATATAGATGATATGAATGGTGAGGAAAATAGTACGAAAAAAGTAGGAGAAAAAGGTAAGTAAACATGATCAGATAATATTATATTAATATAATGAAATATTCGAAAGGTAGATACATGATATAAAGTTTGGGTTTTTTTTTTCAAAATGTTTCATTCAAAGTTAATGAAAATGATATTACGATTATCAATTCGGAACAAAAACATGAAGGTTCGATTTTTGTTTTAGGGCAAATTATTTCTCAAAATGAATTGGCATTAGCACAATCAAATACCAAATATGATATTTTCGATGAGTTTTTAGAACTTGATATGAGAGGTAAATCCGTCAATAAGGCAAAAAATGACTTAAAAATCAAGAAAAAGCGCGGTGTTGCCGCAGAAAATAATACGGTTTCCGTAAATAATAAAAATGGAAATAATAAGCGGGGAATTGAGAATGACAACGTTGACTTTGTACGAAAAGAAATTACTAGACGTGCTTTAAAGGATAAATCAAATAAAAAAAATGATGGTATGAATCAGAAAAATGAAGTCTTTGTTAGATCTACTCTTGTATCAGAGAAAATTCAGGATAATGAAGTGTCGCAAAAGAATAAGAATCGAGAAGAAAAGCGGGTAGATTTCAAAATCTATGATGATAATGTTGAACATGATAATAGTGAACTTGTCATCAATTCCGTAACAGAACCTGATGAGGTAAAGAATTAAAATTTTAATTCATAAAAATGTCAGTAATAACTTTTTTTTTTTTTATAAGCTTCAAGAACAAGATTATTTAAATGACACATATATTTCGGAAGACTGGCGTAACATGAAGCCAATTATGACATCAACTCCTGTCAAAGTCATAGATAATTCGCATATTTTACCATCACATCACATAGATAAAGAATCTTCAACAACATCACTTGAAGAAATTGGCAACATCTTGTTGTCAGATGATGATGCAGAAAATAAAAAGTCTTTAAAAAATTCAAACACGAGTGATTCACAAAATAAAACTGAGAAACAATCAGTAAGGTCACTTGAATTAAAGGGTGATCAAAATATACAAGAAAATTTGGATTATGATCCATCACCTGATCCGCTTACGCTTCCAATGCGTCCTGGAGATCAGAGATTACCACCACCACCAAAAGGAGGATACCAAATTATTAAAAAGATCCTGAATAGACCGATAACCCCAACTTCAGAGGTTGACGAATTGTCTGCTGCATATTATATGTAACGTATATATCAAATATACATATATATGTTATATAGAAGATATTAATTATTTATAATGATAATGCTTGTATACATATCAAATTGATTGCTGTTATACTAATAGGTGTAATAATTCTTATCAGACCTTTTATGAACTGTAGTACATAGTACCCGATGATAGAATGTAAAATATTCTGAGTATATGCCATGTAAAAAAATCCATCTAAAATATCCATATGTAGATTAAGTATCTATGTATTTGAATTTTGGTTGAAATGTATCGTAACGGATCGTTCGGGGTATCATATTCCGCAGAATGCACTAGATTCCGTGACATTTATTACCACGCACTTTTTGTTTACTGCGCAAATATACACACTCACAATTTAAAAATTAATATAAGAGGAAAAAAAAGCTGATCTATCAAGAGGGCCTCCATGGCGCAACCGGCTAGCGCGTTCGGCTGTTAACCGAAAGGATCCTGGTTCGAATCCAGGTGGGGGCGTAACCTGCCTTTTTCTTTCATTTTTTTTATCTTTTATTTTATCATATTTATGTACGAAGTAAAGAACAATTTTGATATATTTAACATGAGAGTTTCTTAATTAAAAGGATAAAATTGTTGATTGTGTCAGAAGATTGAATGCTACTTAATTGTTAAAATAATAGCTAAAGCATTGTTGTTGATCCTTGGTATTTCATTCGCCTCTTATAGTAAACACCTATTAAAGTTAATCTGAATCTAATCTGATTCTGTTTAAGTGTATTGATACCGATACAGTATAATGCAGATATGCAGATCTAAGTACACTACGATATGAAATTACAAACGACGTGTCGGTATGATAAATTGTTAATACTTGATATGAAAATCGTATACAAAAACTTGAATTTTATTCTTCATTACTTGCTTTTGGCAAATTTAATCAGATATAATCGTAATCATATTCATTGTGAGTGTCTAACATGAGGATGTACCAGGGTCACTAATGATCATCACACTAATTCAGTAATTGCGGATTTTTATGAGCATACATACGTATTATATATTAATAAAACGAAATTTACATTTATAGACATAACTAATTAACCAAATGTATGCAAAAATGTTTTAAATTGAATCTTTCGACTAGCTCTACATTGAAATAGAGTTATTTTTTTCAATATTTTTATAGGAACATTGATGTTTGTTATTTTTATATAAATATTTTTAAAAATATTGAAAAAATAACTCTATTTTCAGTGTGGAGCTAGTCGAGAGCTTCAATTTAAAAAAATTTTGCATGCTATTTAGTTAATTAATTGTGTCAATAAACGTAAATTTATTTGGTAAAATTTATATTGATATCTATAATAATTTATATACAGATAATAGATAAGTCTATTCGGTTTAAAATGAATTTGATTGGTCAACGGCGGATATCGTGATTTGTCGAAAAAAAATTGGGGTCTTTTGCCTTGAAAATGACCTTACGGGACATAGTAAATCACATGATCAAAACTTGATTTTCAAGGCAAAAACCCCAATTTACATTATAAAATCGGTGCATTTTTAAAATGCTCTATCGTTCTAATAAAGAAAATTTAATTCTGTAATTTGTAAATGATATATTAATAGCATAGCTTTAAATCTATGTTGAGATATTTTCTAATTTATTATATTAATTTATCTAAGATTTTAACTAATTTGGCGGCTGTTATACATACCCCCCAAATTTGTTAACCATACCCCCTGTAAAATTACAATTTTTTAAAACTTTGAACGGAGATATATCGACATCTATCTAACCAATTTTGATGAATTTTTTTTTATATTCTAATTCTACATATTTGTAGAATTAGAATAAAAAAATTTTCATCGAATTTGGTCAGGTAGATGTCAATATATCTTTATTCAAAATTTTGAAAAATTGTAATTTTACAGGGGGTATGGTTAACAAATTTGGGGGGTATGTATAACAGCCACCATAAATTTTCATAGTAAAATATTCGTTATGTATGTTTAAACTACAGAGATCTCTAAAATTCATATATTAATATAAAACATTGCCACATAGGTTTAATTATGCTATTTTATTATCATTTGCAAGTTGTAGAATTAAATTTGCTTTGCTAGAACGCAGTAAATCACATAATTTATTGTTACGTATCAAAAACAGAATTCATTAAATTATATCACAGATTTCGCATGTCTCTGGTCCCAAAGATATATCCGGAGATTGATGAATTTCCCATTATAAAATTGATTTTATTATATATACGAACTATGTAAATAATTTGGCACGTAGTATAATAAAATTACCACAAGAAAATCCGAAGATTATTTAGTGACCCTGCCTATCGCTATGTTTGACTTTAATAGGCCGTTACACACCCTAACGTCAAGTACTATTTCAAAGTTTTCATATGGTAACACTCATGTAGAATATCTATTAGGCTAACGTTGATGAGTAACATTATCCTTTCTATAGAGGTAATTTAATATATCTGATATAATACTGGATAAGGATGGTAAAAAAACATTTTAAAACATGTGATGTTTATAATCAGGATATTCTGACGTATGAATTTAATGTATTCAGATCATGTTTTAAAACGGGGAAAAATGTTTTTTTTTTACCATCGCTAGTACTGGAATAGATTGCGTTTACCAAATTTCATAACGATAAATTAGTTGCGATTGGTTGTCACACGTTTTATTTAATTTTATTGGTTAAAAATTTTTCTAAATTTTATTTACCACTGGTTAAATTGATTAGTTGTCAACTTGGCCAACTTTTTGGTTTATATCATTATCGGTAATCTGCATTATAAACAGCTAACCAAATTCCATGAATTGCTAACATATAAAGATCGAGACTATAGTTTATTATTTACATAATTGACCCATTCGGTTTTAATTATCAGCTAGAACAATAGGATCATTATCAGAAAAAGCTGGTTCATGAACCTATGTTAACATAATTTAAAATTTAGAACATATTTTCGACTACATATTACTTATTTCCTGGGAGCTTAAAATTACAGCATTCCCGATGATCATAGGATACAGATGGCCCGAAGGGCCGTCTGCATCATATGATTATCGTGGAATTCTCTCTATTGTAATTTTAAACACCTCACAGGAATAAATGAATAATCCCCTGCCTTACGTTATTCATGACCACCTAAACGCTCTAATTTTCACGTGACCGGGAATCTTCAATAGAAAGATTCCCAGTCACATGGGAAATTAGAACAATGAATAACAAATAGTAAGGAGGGAATTAATAATATTATAAAAATAATAATTTATCACTCACAGCATTAGAGACTTCCAACCAGTCCAAAGAACTTAGTAATCGATTGTTTGATGGTTGAGGAATAGTATTATGCTCCCATACCATGAAAGAATTAAACTTTAAAGAAGTTTCCCAATTTCGCATCTCTTCATTTGATTTATGTAATGATTCTTTAAATATGCAACCTAAAAAAATTTAATAGCATATATACATTTTAAACAAAAATCTTCAATATGAGTTTTTGATAATAATTTAAATACCTTCATATTCATCATCTAATATTACATCTTTGCCTATAAGACGACGGCCACGGAAAAATGTTTCATAAAGCGTTTCTAAATTGAAAAGTCGTTTTAAATAATTTATGATATGTAATCTTAATAACATAAAATATAGATCTCGTGCCCACCCTTTGGATTAGTCGGTTCGTCCATTAAAGTATATATATCTTGGTTTGTTTTATCGTCTAACGCGTTTACCAAGAAATAATTTTCGATATTGGCTTTTCCATTATGATTAATATTGCAAGGCAATTGGTGAACCTGTATTTCTGAACGATCTAGATTTGTTTGATGAGCTGAAGTTGCCTTGTTCGATGAAGATTGTTCTGGAAGGAGCGATATATTTATTTCCATGTTTAAATGACTACTGTAAAAAGAAACCTTAGTTAATCTACATAACGCGAGGCAATGATTGAATTTTGTTTTTATTGGCTGATCAACTAATACTTGTACATCATGTACTGTACACTTCAAATTTTAATATTTCATTTATTCTTCGAGCTTTTTTATCCGCATATATGAAGAAATGTTATCGTGATGTTTTGTCTATTGTTATACCACAATTAATTCCATGCCTTGTGCGTGAAAAATTTTATAGTACCAATATAATAATTTTATTATTTATATAAAGAGATACTACCTATTCTCATTTCTCTAATATTAATACATTATTGGCAAAAATTAAGGATTCATTTACTAGAAGCCCTGTATGTCGTCATGGAATTATTTCATCTAAAAAATTCCACTCTCTGGTTGGGACCTCCTGGTTCGAAATAGTTGTTATCTAGTGATGCAGTAGAATCATCCCAATGATTACAGTGTAATCGGGACGATTCTACTGCTACTACTGGCCTTCATGTTTTTTAATACAATATTGATGAAACTAATACATTAAAATCAACTTGAGCAACTCACTGCTTGTATCGAAACACGAATGCAGAATATTTTGGCTCCGAATTGGGACGTTAATCTCAACAAAATTTTTAATATATTTTTCGTGAAGATATTCCTTCTTATCATTATTTTATACAGAATTATTAAATAGGCAATTCTTTTATAAAAATACCACAGAATTTGTGGATGTAATTGACCGCAGAAAATCATTTTTTTTTACCATCCTTAGTTACCTGTTACGTGATTGGCTGCATTACATTCTAAGTCATGTGAGCGGAAAATTTGTTGGGAAATTAAACCAAAGATATATAGCAGATCAGTATGGTATGAGTCCAGGAAGACTCAAAATCCGAATGATATTATAATAATTATTTTTACATTTGTTATTAATATGTAGCAAAGTAAATTTAATATATAAACCATCATAATTATTATTGCAAATGACATCAGCTACATTTTTAACGGGAATCTAAAAGTTGTTATAAGGATTATTTTTCACTCGGATACCCGATTTCAAAATTATGTAACCGGGTGACAAATTTCATCCAATTGGAACTCTACTCTGTAGAGTCAAAGAATAAGTTAGTTAGCATCTCTTTCTCCAGATTCAGCTTCACCTTCCGCTTCTTG